TTCATGCCATCATCTCAGTTTTTTTTAAAAATGTTACTTCTTTGCAAACTACTAAAAAAAGTGAAGTGTATGGACCTACAGAAAAATTCCACAGTTCCACTGCTCTGCATAAACCAAACAGGCTGTGACAACCACATCAGTTCTATTCAGAGCATCAAGAAATGACATTTTATCTCACAGAATTCTAGAATTTTCTGACCATACTTGAAGACCAATGCTTTTATCAAAGTTAAGGATGTCACAATATCTTTGCACAATTCAAAATCAAAGGTGTCATAGTAAAGTGAGTCTAAATTGAAGGAAAATGGATTCCCTGTAACAATTTGCCTTCTCGAGTTCAAATCAGATGATCAGATTGACATGGATCTAGAACAGATGTGCATGAAAGATACACACTGATAAAAAAAAGTGTTATCTTTCTGAAAAAAGGCTTATTTGAAGACTAACAGAAGGCAACTGGCAGGCTGTCTTCATAATGTCACTGCAGAACTGAGTTCTTTGCTTTCAAGTTTACAAAAAGTCATGACATTACCTTCTTCTCCCCAAATCTTGCAGTGGCAGAATAACTGCAATATTAAAGTTTCTCTAAGAAACCAGTACTATCACGTAGAATAGTTCACTGACATACAACAGTTTCAGAAGAATATTAACATCATGTTTTAGCCATCAACACCACTATCACCAATTACTTTAATCATTATAGCTTGAAGCTGAGCAGATGCCTTTAAAGACTTTCCAACAGGTTACAGGGGCGTTAACAATTTCGAGGAGATGCATTAAATTGTTCTATTGTGACATTCAAGTGGCAGTACCTTGTGATACAGTCTGCTGTAACAAATAAAGCTGTTTAGATGAGTTCATGCAAAGACTCGAGTCAATGAGGATGGGAGTGAGAAAAGAGCTTGGAAACTTACCCAGAGCAAAGTACTCAAGCCCTAAAGGTAGGTGAAAATGAAGGGGCAAGGGGAAAGGAATAAGACATGGGAAAGAAATATTAATCTATTTTTAAAAGGAAATGAACCATTTAGCTTCTGAAGGTGAAAGTTGGACAAACCGAGGCAATTGGGTAAAGACTAAACTGCGTAATATCAAAACCTAAATACTGCTAGGATTCAGTCTCCAAACTAACTTGCTTCAGTGGTTTGAACAATTTTCCTAAATGTGTTGTTTTTACGAAGTAATCATTAGAGGAAATGTTTTCAAAATAAGTAAGCACCAGGGGTTTGCAGCAAGGATTATATTTCATAGCCCACAAAGGACAACATATATCCATGGATTTCTGAACAAGTACCAATAACATCACAGCTAACCTATGAAACTCAACATCTAGAGGAGCAATGCACATATACACGCAACTTCACCGCAATAAAAATGTTATTCTGGACTCCAACAGAGCCCTGAAATACATGGGGTTTTAACCTAGTTTTCACACAGGTGTTTGTAAGTTAAGTACAAATTGATTTCCTATTTATCCCATGAATACTTAGCTTACTGTCTTTGATACACTATCAAGACCACCAGCTTGGACTGTAAGCAACCAATATACAATACAATATTCTAACAGCCTAAATTAAGTAATCTTTAGAAAAAGAAATGGAAAGAAATGGTAGATAAACTCAACTTTTAGAAGAGCAACAGGATTGACAAGTTCAAATTTTCCCAAACAGAATCCACGGATATCATCTATGGCAACTACAGTAGCAACTAGCACTACTGTCAGTGGGTTTTATTTTTAAAACTTTTGAAATTAATTAACATGGTGCAGGAATATTACTATGACCATCTCTGCTTTCATCACAGTTCCGTAACACATACCATCAAACGTGGGGGAAAAAAGCATTATTTGTGTTGGCATTTCAAGCCGCATCTGTTTACCACAGTGACTAACTGCTTGCTACTACTGTTCACCTCAGAGACACGTGTGAGAGGAACTAGTAGCTTTGACCTTAATTAGAACATTAGTTATGTATACTAAGCTTTTAACAGAAATTTTCTGTTACAGAAAAAGCTACTTGGCCTTTGTGACAACCAAATTTGACTTAACACCTCCTCTCTTTAAGGAGCTATTATTTTGGACAGTTAACAAATAACTGTTAAAATTGTCTAGATGAGCATGTTAGTCCACCCACTGTATTTCCACCACAGATAAGGCTTAGAATCTAACAGTCTTTCCCAACAGCACAATCTCCTCCATTTCAGACATAATAAACTATGCAGTTTACTATTCATTACTATTCCACCCTTCTGAAGGAAACAAATAGAACTTGCTTATTGACTATGCTCATTCAACTGGATAGGTAAGAAACCTGAACTAAGAAGATGGGAAGAAGGTAAGCATTCCTGTGAGGCATACTGATGTCCTACCATTGCCCTTCTTGAGGCAGGCTCAAGAAGAGAGAAAACCCTGTACACTGTTGCAAAGAGCATACCAGCAGAGTTTCCCCAGAAGATACAGTCAATTCAGCTGGGCAGGGATGGCCAGTAGTTTGCATGCTGAAAGAGTTTATGGAATCTAGAAGGAGCATCTAGTTCAGTATATAGAAAACATTCTGACAATACTCAATGTCTTCCAAGATGCACTATTGGTTGCTTTATAGTTTGAAATTACTTTTATTAAGCCATACAATTAGATGTATGAAACAGTAAAAGCATTCTGAAGTTGAATCACTTTCAAAGTCCAAAGCTAACCATCCATCTAATTATTGTAAGTGGGTCATTGATTAGTGAATAGGCAAAAGCTTTAAGCCTCACAGTGCTTTGAGAAATTTTGATGGTGCACATAGAAGTTCTAGAACAGCAAACACAAAGCACAGTAATACTAAATATGTAATAAAATATCAAAAATACTAACAAATCTAAATACGTCAAAGGTGGCTCGTAATAAGTTTGGCATTTATAAAGCCAAGTACATTCAAGCTTTTCCAGAATAAAATAAAAGTTCAAATTGAGGAGTGGGACTTGACAATGCTTTAAATACACAGGTTATAGAATCAGGAAGAATTCTTAATACAGAAGATTGTCATAGCAGTAATTAAAACAAAGATGCTGTCTGGATCTCTGCAGAAGGGCAATGCTACAACACATGGATCAATAAAATTGTTACATAAAGCCATGTTCTTATATGCTAAAGTGTCAGGCATTACTAAGATGCTGTCTGGATCTCTGCAGAAGGGCAATGCACATGGATCAATAAAATTGTTACATAAAGCCAAATTCTTATATGCTAAAGTGTTAGGCATTACTGTCACTTGCTAAATATTAGTGATTTCTTTACTTGTTCACATAGATTTAATAAGTATTACTGAAAAATATTCTCAAGATAAATACAAAATTTACAGAACAATAAGATCTGAACATCAAGATACACCACTGTACTTGTTTTTCAACTTTGAAGGTCTAGTATCAGTTTCATCTGTTCTGTTCTATGTGTAGTTTCAATTATACCCGAAACTAGTCTCTTCATTTCTACTGTTTGTACTCTTGACTGGCACAGCAATTTTGCAATACAAAGATTCTCATTTTGATCTGTTCAAGAAATTCTATAGCACCTTCTATTACATTGCTATATCTACCACCCCAGCTATTGTTTTCCTTTTAACCATAGACAAGATAACTATGAAGCTCATAAACTGCTTCAGTATATAGGGATGTGATGAACCTACAAACAAAAAAGATACGGCATCTAATTCAAACACAGAAAAGCTACACAGAAGTCTGGCTTACCACAATGGAATCACACTTCAGGATGCACACACAGGTTGAAACTAGTTCGTTGGCAAAGCAAGCAAGACTTAAATTCTGAGAATTAAGCTATAGAGATAAAAGCACTTTAAACAAAGCACTTTAAACAAAGCAAACCATGTTTCATCGGGGAGTAAGGTATGTAACCAAACTTTTCCATGTTTTGCTCTAACTTAACTCTATAAAAAAAATGAAACAGAAGGTATGATGCTTTAAGTTACATACGCAGTCTTCCGTTGAGGAGGTTTGTTTTCTCAGAGAATTAAATTTTAAATTCAGTCAGGAATTGAGTCTTTAAAAAAAAAAAAATCTGTTGTGTCAGCACTGCAATTATGTGTCACACACATTATCACTCATTCATACACTTTCATGCAAATAAATTCAAAATATGTAAATTTATCTTATTTTCCCTAAAAAGCACACATATTACTGAATAAATGTCCATACAATGAACTGAAGCTTTAAAGAGCTGTAAGTGTAACGCACAAAAAAGCCCAACTGAAATTTACTTATCAGTTATCTAAGTAGGGCAAATTCAAGCTTATTTACATAGTTTAAACTTTTAATCTTTGGTAAAAAAATTACAAAACATAAATTAACACGTTTCTATACAAGTCCAATACTTACTTTGCACAGACTAAGAGAACTGACAGTATCTGCTTTAGCTCTTTTTGACGTATTTACGTAATGATCTCAGAGCTCCCTATCATTTTTCATTCACTGTGCTACACAGTGCTGTGTAGCAAGTTTTCAACAAAACATTTTCAAAGACCACAGAAAAGTCAATCCCTTTACAGGCTACTTAAGCTGCTCTTCTGACACTACAAGTCATTTAGTACACTTTCACTTCAGATTGTGAAATCTGAACAGTTTTCACACATGGCTTGCCACCATTTAAATAAGCACATGCTTATTACAGTGCAGCCTGCTAGATATTTAGTTATCAATGACCTGACAGAAGTCTAAAAGAAATACTTAAAAAGAAAAATGTTCAAGCTACTTGTTCCAACTTGATAGTCATTTTAATCCATTTAATCAAACTCATGCCACTCCCTTAAACCAGGGTACAAGACTGAAAGCAGACCTGCACCTAACTCACTCACTCTTCTCCTCCCACAAACGTATCATGGGAAAAGTAGTCATGGACACAATCATTTATAGCTTCCTTTACATTTCAAAAAACAGGAGAAACTTGGTAGTTATTTCTGCAAAACCCTTCATCTGGAAGTTTTAAGAGTCTTCAAGGAGAGAAAACATACCTGCTATGGGCACATATCCAACTCCTTGCTGATATACAGTGGGCATCAGGACCACTGGCTGGGGTTGCATCATCATGGCAGCTGGCAAAGACTTGACACAAAAAGCACAGACAGATTAGAATTACTCAAGAAACAGAAAAAACCAAACCAACAATTAAAACAGTATTTGCAAAAAAAAAAAAAAAAAAAATCAGCGCATTGCAAATCCATGTTCAATATTACAATATGACTACAAGTGCTAATCTATACTAAGCAAAATCTCTGGCAAATTAACCATCCTTTAAAATTACAATTTATTTGCCTGTAAATTGTTATAAACACAACATGTCAAACTAGCCTTTTGCAATAGTTAATAAATTTTACCACTGAAATTCTGTTACTGAAGCAAATTATTTTACAATATGGGTTTAATCAGCTTTCATGCCTTATTCTTGTGAAATGAATATATAACATACTCATTGTAAATTAAAGCTTAGAGCAAACCTGAATTTTATTAAAAGCAGTATACTGCTCCTAGAAGCATATTTTAGTTCAAGTCAACTATTTTTGAGTTAAACCAGTACTTTAAACAAAGCATCAGTTTAACTCCATTCCCTTTTACTACCACAATTCCTGTTCAGTTTGATCCTGGAAAATATTAAACGGTCAGATTCTATGTACAGTACATTCATGGTCAGGCAGTTTTAAATGTTAATTACAGACTCATTTCTCCTAGGGGTAATGGAACAACTCTTCAGATGTCGGGCAGAACGTGAATTTCAAATAGCAGGGAACATCTGTTCCCAGTTGTGTACTCAACAGCAGCTTGGAAATTTTGGTTATGTACAAGCATAGTATGAAGCATTCAGGGCTGCACATGCTACACACGCTACCCAAAAGCTACATAAATCAAAAGTGACAGATGACAGAATAGTCCATGAGCAGCTAAATGGACCAATCTAAGTCAGCACTTCATGACTGACCTTCACTTTCATTTCACGAAATGAAAAAGAATGGAAATAAAAACCAAAGTAATCAGAAAGAGCATTCAAACTATCCAGAAAGACCTAAAACAGAGAAGAGCTTCCATTATTTTTGCTTTTGAATCAACAAGAATTTCTAAAGATTTTGGGGAAAAAAAAGAAGTTAGCTAGATTCCATGGAACTTTTCTGAAATTAATTAATTAGAAATTACAATGGACCATTTGACTGAGGATTTCTTTTTTATGCTTCTATTAGCACAGGACTAAGCTGGTATTTTGTAATTGCAAAACCAGGTAAATAAATACCCATTTACCACCTCACCAAAAAGTATTTACTGCCTTAACTAATATTTTTGACTGCCATTCCAAAGTTAAGTATAACTATTTTAAATGTTAACACATACAAACTAAGGTACAATGGAACTAATTCTACCTCAGACTAAAATATCTCCCTCCCGCTCCCCAAGAAGCTTCTATCCCCTCCTCCTCCCACCCCAAACTTGGCTTACCGTGTATGACATAACCAGATTAATCATTCCTTCCTTGTCATCACCCTGTCTTCCGCTCAGGCTATACCATTCATCCTCCACATTTCCTTGTTTCAGAGACTCAGGAATTGTAATGTGCGTCCAAGCAATGCGGTCATCCATTGAAAAGGCCCGCTGGAATATAATTTTAAAAATATTATCACGTTAATTGTCCTGAAAAAAAAAAAATCTTTAAATTATTCTTGACTAACACTTCCTTCAGTTTTATTCTATTTCACTATGCCAATTTTATTTTTAAGTTATTCCTTTTGAAATTACTAAACTGTCAGTAAATATTTTAGCCATCTCCTTTCCAACAAGGATGAATGATGCTTTAAGTGGAATTAGAGATTTGTTTCAATTATTTAATGAGAAGAAATTGAAAACCTGAAGCGGAACACTTCTAGAAATATAACATCAGCATAGTCTATGTTAATCTAGCGACATCATATCAGAGGTCATCAGCTTTTGTTTACACTACTATGATAGGCTGTCAACTCCAGTAATTCAAGAGCAGATACAAGTACTGATCTGCCACCTGGTTGCAGCAACAAAACAGACACTTCAACCAATCAACTAAGCCCACAAAATGGCATCCAAAAGCCTCACTCATGTAATGATCACACAGCTGGTGCAGTGTCAAGTTTTACTACACGCACTAAGAGAGGCAGCAAAAAAGGCCCAAACACAGACTTTAGCCTCAGTTGTAGACTTAGTTTAAATCTTTCAAGAAGGTATGTTTGTGCTAAGTGGAACAGCTGAGGTGTAGGCACATATTCCCTGCTGCCAACAATAACAACATCTAGCAGAATCTACTAAAATTCAAGATAGTACTCTTCTAGAAAAGCTTTGTAGAGCAGATTACCTACCAAAGCTGCTAATTAGACCCACTCAATCTCTAAGGAAATGAAATTGTTCAGAGGTTAGGTATTTATTACCGTGTCTTAAGTAAAGCATAGACAAGTGCCTCCATGCCCACTTGGAATGAAATTCAGGCAAGTGTAGATTAAGTTATGTTCCTGCTAATAATTCCTAGTGACTACACACAGTTGCTATTTGAGTTTTGTTCTCAGCATTTCCAAGCTTGGGAAAGCTTCCAAGCTCCTCCTGGGTTAGAACAACACTGAAGAATTTCTGAGTAAAACAGCATTGTATAAACAAGCCATTTTTAATAGGACAGTACAGAACATAAGGCTGCAGGGCATATTGATAGTGAAGAAGAGCTTAAACACCACTCAGACATTTTTGCTTCTCCTCCTTTGCAGGGAATCCTGATAATGACCCTTATCAGCTACCAAAGGAAAAGTAACATCTCTGACATCCCTGGGGAAGAGTGAAGCCTTATGCACTGCTGCTCTTGGGATACCGAAAATTCTCGTCATCTCCCAGAGAGCACAGCTAAGAAACAGCCTTAGGTAACTCAATCTTTTTTTGCAAGATTCCACCCAAGCCTCTGTCCAAACAGGAGATGGGGAGGGAGAATAAAACATATAGTAGTTCTGACCTCATCAAATATCTCTAGATAAAAAGAGTCCACACCCGGGGGAACAGTGCACTGAATAACTTTGTTCCAGCGGGGGTTCTTGGCTCCATTATGTGCTGTTGGAGTTTCATACACAGCATACCCCAGCCGTATTCGACAATATGGATCCATGCGGGTCATTCCATAGTTCTTTGCCAATTTTGCCTGAAAAGAAAAAAAAGCCTGTAAGTGTATAATATTTAGATTGACTTGAGAAGTTAATTACTATTAGTTCACAAAACCAATCAGATATTGAACAAAGGACTAGAATCAATTATAAGGTAGACAGGAAGGAAAAAAACCCCGAAGAATAAAAACAACAGTCAGACAAAAACATAGAACAGCCAACAACACCATTAAATGTCTGGAGACCTTGAAAAAGGAATGTTTTTAACCTGTCTGTTGTAGAAAATACCTATCTTTACCACAGGTAAAATAAGTTACTTCATACCAGACCAAAAAATACATGATTACAAGGAAATAGTAATAATTTCCATTTTTGCCTATGTAGCTGCTCTCCAATATGCAATCATAAACTTAATGTGATAGGTAGCCTGTCCTCTTTCACTGAAGTACTTTTAAAGGATGAAATACAGAAATCCAGTAGCTTCAAGAATATCACACAATACAAAAGCACAAACTGCAAAAGCCCCAACTGAGGTAAAACCTAGTAGAACATACTTTTCAAAGCAATTAAACTTAATTCAGTGTGTGCGTTTGATATTACTCAATTCAGTGGGCAACTTAAGGTCTACATTTCTATAAAACTAGATGAGGTAGAGAATCAGAAGATGTCCAACATACTTTTGCTGTAACATCACAGGAATAGAAGAAAACAAGTTGATGACAGTCTTGAAGACAACACTGAGTACAGCTGCATAGCTATGCCAACATAGAAATCGGACTTTTTGGACATGCTGTTTCTCTGTCCTCTACTAAGCAGCCTATAGCTCTTTTTATAGTAAGACAAGTGACAAAATATGGTGCCTAAGATGCCTCCCACCTACAGGACATTTAAAGAACTGGAACAATTGAGACTTGCATAAGATTTAGTCACAATGGCTGAAGCTCTGGCCTGGAAAGCACTTTTCTCCTTCAGGGCACATGCTGGTTCAGTAATTCATTCATTAGAGCTGGTGAGAAGTACCTCAAACTGTTCTTTGTAAATGTGGGTTTAACAAAGTATAAAAGTTGGCACCTAAATTATGCACTCTCTAGAGACTCTGAAGTCCTGAGATTAAGCCGCTTACCATAAAACTTCACCAAAAGAAAAAACAGCATATGAATTGTCTGTCTAGTAATTTCAGAGGACACAATGAACTGTGCTTAGACAAACTCACCACCCTTCCTATATATCTGCAAGGAAAAAACCCAGTAAATTACCTTCCCCAAAACATTTTCTGATCTTCCACCATTTTATTAGTAAAGGAATTAAGGCATGCTGCTCTATATATTTTATCAACACATATTGAAATACAAAAGACTTCAACAAGCTTTTTATGTTCCATAGGTTAACTATGCTATGGTAAGTCTCCTACCCAGAATGCCACATGCCTTAAAGCACAGCCAAGATTCCCACATCATTCTTGCATAAACTCTCAGACAGGTACAGAAGACTATCTCTCAGGACGCCACAAGGTTGTACTGCCATTCAGAGGGACTTTGACAGGCTGGAGAAGTGCGCAGACAGGAATCTCAAAGTTCAGCAACAAAAATGTAATGTTCTACCCCAAGAAGGAATAACCGCATGCACCACTACAGGCTATGGGCCAACTGGTTGGAGAGCAGCTTTGCAGAGAAGGACTTGTGGGTCTTGGTGGACACCAAGTTGGAAATAAGCCAGCAATGCATCTTTGCAGCAAAGATGACAGACAGCACCCTGGGCTGCATTAAGAAAAACACAGCTAGCAGGTCAAGGAAGATGATTCTTTCTACTCAGCACTGGGGAGACTGTATCTGGAATACTGCTCCTTTAGTTCCGAGCTACTCAGCAGAAGGCATGGTCATACTTGAATGAGTCCAGCAAAGGGTCACTAACACAGTTAAGGGCTTCACAGAATGAGTGAGGTTGGATGGGACCTCTAGAGATTGTCTATTTCAAGCTCACTGCTCCTTGTAAAATGTTTAGGCAAGTTCCAAGTGTCTCCATGGATGGAAGCTCCACAACCCCTTTGGGCAATCTGTTCAGATGTTTGACAATTCTCACAGTAAAAAGGTTTTTCATATATTTAAACAGAGGTTGCTGTATTTCAATCTGCGCTCACTGCACCTCTTTCTTTCCTCTAGATAGCAACTGAAAAGAGCCTAGCTGTCTTCTTCATAAATACCTGATGGCAGGGATTACTCGTTGATAAGATTCCCCCCCCAAGACTCTTCTCCAGCTCTCTCAGCCTTTCCTTGTATATAACTCCTTAATCCTTGACTGGCCTGGGGGGTAGGGAGGTGGGATAGGGTTTGGACAAAACAAATTCCGGAGGTCCCCTCTAACTTCAACTATCCTGTGATTCTATAACAAGTGGTTATTTACAGACATGGCATCAAGAATAGTGATTAGGTTTTATTCTTCATGGAAAGTAAGTATTTTTTTCTTGTCTGCACAAGCACCTAAAAATAAATGAGAATTGAACCAGATAAAGACCAGTATCAGCTCCATCAGTTCACCAATCCAAACAGGAATCTGGATGTTTCTGTGCATAGTCACTCAAAGTGAGATGCAAAATTCCTTCTTGAACACTGTACTGTCTGCCTCCGTATCTGCCCCGGGAACTTCTGCCATCTGTACTGACTGGATCAACATCCCATGACAAAAAGCACTTTAACCTGCCCAAGCAAACAGCCAAAGATGAACCTATAGAGTAGCATACAAATTGCTAGAAACTGCTAAAGACTTTATACAGACATGGCATCCTATTTGATATATGTTTTGTTTCCTTATAGGCCTGAGGTTTAACCTGAATCATCTATTCCCAGCTCTGCAAAAAAAATATTCTAAAGCTTCTTCCGCTATGGTCTAGAAGTGGTAACATTTTTCTGCTGTTCAAAGTTTTTTTTTAAACACCTCAGAATTAGAAAGAGGGCTGCAATTGTATACAATGAATGAGTTCAAGTGTCTAAACCTTAGAAGTAATAAACTTTGAAAAAGTATTACCCCCAGTTTTCAAAGGAAGGATATCGGTTATGAAGGAGCAAACTGAGCAGTGAGAGACATAGAAAGGAAGGATCAGTGCCTCTTTTCCTGAGAGACAATATATAGATTTACTCCCCAATAAGTACCTCATCATGGAAGCTGTAACCATATGTGTACTATTCCAGGCTTGGTCCTAAATTTGAGGTTAAATATCTGTTTGGTATGTTTTTAGGGAATGACTTGAAAACAGCACTTTTAAGTAGATGAGGTGCATTAAGTTAATATGAAGAACATCTGGTATGCTAATGTAGATAAACAGAATTATGTTAAGACAGGTAAGATTTAAAACCTAAAATTTTATGCATAATCAACGCAGGCATACAATACTGCCAAGAGATAAAAGAAAGGATAACCAGGGAAAAGAGAAAACAGAAAATAATGAGCTAGGACTATGCATTTGTGATTAATAAGAAAGCCTGCAGAAAGCGCAAGGAAAAACAGCAAATGCATTAGAGGAAATGGGGATAGAACAGAGAAGTCACTTAAGGAAAAATATGTAAGGCAACTGCAGTTCCCTACAATATTCTCAAAATTGCTAATGTCTTCCAACACTAAGTGTTTCTACAGGAAGCCTTCTTAACAGAAGTTTTCAGAAAAACCTGTTCACTGTGAGAAAAACATGAGTTTATTTGATTATGTGCTATAATAGCAAGGTTTATAGGAAATAGCTGTACCATGTATGATGCAGCTATGAAACTGGAAGAAATGCTGATGACAGAAACACGAAGCTACAGAAACTTCAAAAATTACTCATTCCCTATATACAAGTAGTTTAGTAACTCAAGTAATTTACTAACTCAAATTCCAACACAAAATCTTTTTGTGGCCACCAAGCAAAAAAGATTGTGTTAATTACAATTACTTAATTGTACAAAGATGGTACAATTTATACCTGTACTACAGTAATGCTGAGTCTGCCTACTGTCCCCATTGGTCCTCCATACTGTAGCTGCTGAGCTGCCTGGGCATCCAGCTGGATTTGCTGTTGCTGCTGGGTTGGGGTAATGCGAAGAAAATCTTGAGGAAGCTCACCAACGTATACCTTAAAAAAAGAAAAGAAAAAGAAAAAACCTTCAAACATGTCTTTCAACTTTCACAGTGGAAAAGAAAGAATATAAATCAAAGAAAAGCTTAGCAAAAACATTTGGCAGATTTTAGCCTAGTTTTGACAGCGTGAACAAAGAACTAATTAAATGACAAAACTGCCAACTCATATAGAGAATGTTCTCATATTCACTTTCAAAAACACTGATTTCCAACATAAGCCTCTGAAAAAAAAAGTAGGACACAGAGCCAAGGCCGCTCTGTGATTAAACATTTAAGTAGTCCACACAAAAGTCAGAGCTACCAAGTTTTACAACCCATTCATATATGACATCTGATGGCACACAGCTCTTTCACTTGTTCATCACTCATGTTGCATCCAATCGTTCCTGCAACAAGACACAGCACCCCGCTTCCATCTGAAAAGGTCACTTTCACAGGCATCGTCAAGACGGATCATAAAGACGATCCCTCCTATGAACCAAATGCTTCAACACAACTAAAAATCCTTCAACATAAGAAAGATGCCCTAATGCTTTCCCAGTGTTAAATACCACCAGCCTGCAACTAACTCTGGGGACAATTTTGGGGCAAAATCCCACCATACCCAAAACAATAATAGAGGATTTCAAAACCTGGTCTATCACAAGAACGAACCATGAGAAAAAATTCAAAGTAGAAAAATCTTAGAGCAACTCCATCACATGTTCCGCTATGAATCAGCACTCACCGTGTATTTTCTGATAGCTTTATGGTAAAAGAAGGGAAAGTTTCTACCTATTACTTGTCAATTCTATTACTGTCATTTCAACAGCTCAGGTTGTTTCTACGTTTTAAAGGCTCAGTGAACATTATCAATAACACATTTAGGGAGCTCATCATGTTAAAGTAACAAGCATATTATAATAATAAATTTTAAAACGCAAATGAAGTGGCATAGAAAATATATAATTAAACTGTACTCATTTCTGTTGACTATAGAGTTGCTTACATATTTAACACAGAACCGTCCACTGCATCAAGACAAATGGCAGTGCAATTTCTTACGTTGCTATCCCAGGCAAGATTACTCAACTGCATATTTGGCAAGATGCAAGCCTACAGAACATACTTTAAGAAGTTAATAGGCCTCTAGGACATAGCTTTTGAAGATCAGACAGCACTTGCATGTCAAGATTGCATCTTGGAGATAGCAATAGTCATACAAAACATGATTAGGCAAGACAGTCCAAGAGCCTCAGGATCCTGGCAACAGTAGGTGTTACATGCCAGAAAAGTTTGTCAAAAAGCTAAGGAGGAAGTACTGAATACCTGCTGCTAGGCTATTAGGAGGGAGGGGAAAAAGAAAATCAGTTTTGCTTACAAGCATCTTAAAATTTTACAATTAATATCCTAAGTAGCTTAAAAAGTGTGGGGGGGAAATGGGGGCAGAGAGGGAGAAGACTAAGCTAAAAGATAGTGCTAATATTAAAAGAAAGCTTATTTAAGTTAGGCTGGAAATTAAACAGGGTCTTGTAACAGCCTTCTCATTAGAATACATGTTATAAAAAAGGGAGTTAGTTTTAAAATAAAACGTAATCCATTTAGGGAAGATTTGAAATGGCACCAGAATTAGCAAGGTGATGGCATTTACAACACAGCAGGTCCCCTCCAACCCTTGACCTCTAGGAATTTTCAAATCTGGTATTATTAGCATCTCTAAGAATAGACATCAAAGATGTCCCATAGCCACAAGTGGTGGCTGCAGCCCTGAAATTACATTCCCGTATGTGCAAGCTCCCTCTGTCAACTTCTCAGAAAACAGGATAGCATATTTTGTCTCAACCATCTTAACATGGACATTGGAAAGCTTTAATTCACTCACAAGTGAGAAGTCTAATAATATCTTTCACTTTTTAAAATTTAAGTTACCCAAATAGTGCTCCAAAATAAAATATATAAACTAGTCTCTGTACTGAGGTCCAAAAGGGACAAACAAAATCCGCAGGGAGACCAAAGTTTTCTTAGAGCATCTAAGCTGATTTTAGGTCATTCAGTTATCTCACACAAAGCTACATTCTTATCCTGGAATCGCAGAGCAGACATACACAGAAACTGAACAGCTAGCGTAACTAAATTCTCCAAAGATCTGACTGGTAAACCCCTCCAAAAGGAAGAGTGGGGAACAGGAGATGCATATGCTACCATCCTAAATGTTCTGCTCTGACTGAGATCTGGTACCCAAGTCCTGGTGATAATGTTCAATAAAATAGCTGAGAGATGCTTATTGAGGAAAATACACTACTGAGTTCTTATGCAAATTGTCAGTTGATTCCATACTGATAGAGACAAATCAGTAGTGAAAACAGGCTAATTTATGTCTGCCTCAAAGCATTTAAAAGAAGGCACATAATTGTCACCTCCAAATCTGATTCCAAAATACAAAGTTACATAACTGGAGTTCAACCACAGGTTTCATTTTTACAGCAAGGAAAACATAAGTGACAAGCTTGTATCACTGATCCTACTCAACACCCACTTTACAACAAATGCACTTCCTTCTACTATAACAACATTTAAAGAAGAATGTGAAATTCAACCCTGCTCTGCTGTTAACTATAGACCAAAAAAATTAATTCCATTTAACATTTGAATTTTACTAGAACTCTCTTTTCAAGCAAGACAGCAATATGACAGTGCTGTGATAAAACAACAACTCAGAGGACAAATGTTGAGCAGGCATTCATAAAAATAAGCCTGCCTTGTTAATTATTTCCTAATAAACTTTATTGACAGCATTGCATATAAAGAATATGAATTATCTAGAAACAGAATAATATTGCCCTTCCTATCTGCCAAAAGTACCTAAGAACTAGTTTTGAGGACCTTCAAAGTGAAACATTGCAGGTAGGAAAACTGAATCTCAACTTCTTCAAATTGAAGGCGGTGTGATGTTCTACAGCTATTCGAGCTAATTTAGGGCTGAGCCGTCTCAGCCTCACCCTCCTGCTTCTTCTCACCCCCATTTCTTCTGCAACATTAAACGGTGCCAAGGCAATTGTAACCTACGCTAGTGCAGAGGGCTGATCAGAAGAAAATGAAACAAGGTTGGAGGCAAACAGAAGAGGAGGGGAAGTCATCAGGGCCCTTACCTCACTAACTGATCGTGTGAGTACTGGTACCTACACACAGGAAAGGGAACGCAGAGCTGAGGACAACCACAAATGCCCTGACTTACGGAACCATATGCTGAGACACAATACATTCAGGGAACCATAACTAAGGTTTCCACACAAGCAATTACCAGGACACTCCGATACTAGGTTTTAGAAAAGTTATATGTTAAAGAGCTTTAAATACCTAGCTACTCAAAAAAGTTTTAACCATTCTCCTTTAAATAGTTTTATTGTTTTTAAGAAAGAAGTAGTGAGTGAATGAGAGAATTCTGAACTATTACTCTGTTTTGCACACTAAAGAAAAAATTTGGACCAGATAGGATGCATCCAGAGGTCCTGAAAGAGCTACCTGATACTTTTTCAAGGCTACTCTTTTATCATCTTTGAAAGGTCATGGAGATTAGACAAAGTCCTCTATAATTGGAAAAAACAAATGTTATACCCAGCTTTCAAAAGGGCAAGAAGGATGACCTAAGGAATAACAGGCAGGTCAGCTTCACTTCAGTTGCTAAGAAATTCATAGAGCAAGTCCTACTGGAAGCCATTTCTAGACACAATGAAAGAAAAATCAGGGACTAGGAATAGCCAGTCTTTACCAAGTTGTTGGTTTGTTTGGGTTTTTTTTTTTAAAAAAAAAAACAAAACCCTAATGAGCCCAACTGCCTTCTGCAATAAAATTATTGGAATCTATGAATAAGAAGAGAGCAGTAAGTATCAAAGCTGGGTCATTACAATCTAGATGGATGGACCACTGGATGGATGAAAAACTGGCTGGGTCACTGAGCTCATAAGTTGAAGTTCAGTGGTTAATGACACTGGAGGTTGGTTAAAGGCAAAGTTTCTCAGAGGTCTGAGACTAACTTATGCATCTAATATTTTTCTTTATCAGTGAACAGAAGTGAAGACAGAATCTTACCAGTTTCGACGATGACACCAAATCTGGGGGAAAAATGACTTCATGACCTGGTTTCGGCTGGGATAGAGTTAATTTTCTTCCTAACAGTTGTCATAGCGCTGTGTTTTGGATTTAGTATTAGAAGAATCTTGATAACTCACTGATGTTTTAGTTTTTACTAAGTAGTGCTTATACTAGGCAAGGACTTGTTCAACCTCCCATGCTCTGCTGGCGCACAAGAAGCTGGGAGGGGACACAGCCAGTACAGCTGACCCAAACTGGCCAAAGGGGTATTCCATACCATATGACATCATGCTCAGTATATAAACTGGGGGGAGTTGGCAGGAGGGCAGCGGACAGGCTGGTCAGTGGGTGGTGAACAACTGCATGATGCACCACTTGTCTTGTATATTCTATTATTTTCCTCTGCTGTTTTATTAAACTGTCTTTATCTCGACCCACAGGTTTGACTTTTTTTTCTCCCACAATTCTCTCCCCTAATCTACTGGGGAAGGGGGGGAGTGAGAAAGCAGCTGTGTGGTGTTCAGCTGCCTGCCAGGTTAAACCACACCACTTGAGCTCAGGACCAAGAACCAGAGAGACAGAAGAAGTCACTGGCAGGAATCTCATGAAATTCAACAAATGCAAAGTCCTGTACTTTGGACAGAAAAATCCCTGGCACTGGTACAGCCTAGAGAACAGTTGGCAGGGCTGCAACTCTACAGAGAAAAACATGCGGGTCCTGGTGGAGAGCAAGCTAAACGTGAATGAGCAGAGCACTCTTGCAACAATGGAGCCTAACAGCATACTATACTGGATCAACAAAAGCCTAGCCAGTACGCTGAGGAAAAAGACTGTTTCCCTTTACTCAGCACTCATCAGACCACATCTGGAATACTACAACCCATTTGGGGCCCAGCAGTACATGAAAATTATAAACTTGAGTGAGCCCAGACATCCACCAAGACGGCTCATGAAAAGGGCTGTAGCACAAGACTTGTGAGGACAGACTGAGGATTTTTTAGAGTAGAAAAATCTTAGGATGCACCTCATAGCAACTTCCCATTGCTATAAGAAGGTCATTAAGAAAACAGAGCCAGGTTCTCTTCTGAGACACAAGGCAAGAAGAAAGGAAACCTCAACTGTCAAACTTGGGCAGGTTTGACATGAAAAAGGAGGAAAAATAAGTTCACCACAGCAACAACCACAGATAGGGACAAATTGCCCAGGAAGACTGCAAAAACTCTCACCTTAGAGGTTTTGAAGATCCTGCTGGACAAAGCCCTGAGCAACCTAGTCTGAATTAAAAACTGACCATGTTTTTATCAAGAGGTTGTACTACACGGACTCATAACATCTCTTCTATCCTGAACTGTTCTATGATTCCATAGAACTCACGTTATAGCATGACACATCCCCAGTTGAACTCCTGTAAAAATGTCATCAAAGGCTCTACTTCAGAATTTCAATTAAGAGATGGACAAAGGAAAGAATATAACAGCAATTAAGTTTATTACATGTACAGATCTTTGCTGTTTGGTTTTTTGTTTTGGGTTTGTGTGTGTTGGTTTATAAATGTCACCAAAATAAAAAAAAAATAAAATTCATGGACTGCAAGGTACCAGACATTTCTTCTCCCATTCTTATTATTTCCTCCTGTTGCTAGAAATTTCCTATCTACTTTGTTGCTGCTGTATGTCTACCCATAAAGGCTTTATGATTCTTTAGCCACCACCTTAACCGTATTTTCCCTTTCCCCCAATTACACCACCTATATTTAGTCTTGGCTAAGTATTTTGCCATAAGCTACTGCCTCTGGATTTTCCCAGCACATTTACATTTCTTCAAGACATTAAAAATTAAATATTTGCAAAATACATTCCTGTAGCGGAGGTGTCAAATCAGGTAGGTGATATAACCCAAAATAATATTTGTTCTAATCTAAAGTGTTTGGTACTCCAATGAAACCACAGGTTCAGGGTGACAATGGGAATTTAATGCTACACAGCTGAGTTAAGAAATCTTAAGCTTTGGAATAATGACTCAAAATGTGCAATTACTCACCTAATAAGGCAAGGGCTCTCAACATTGATGAGCTACCTTGGGCAGTGTCCTGACCCAAGGGGAGAGTCTCTGACTGAAGACTCACTGCTCTGAGGAGGACCAACTCCATTTGCCCCCCTGCGGGACTCTGTTTACACCCTAGTTGGATATGACCTGTGGTCATAGATGGCCATGTCCATTCCTATTACCTAAGAGCTCTATCTACCGGTGACTGTGTACAAGGCAACAGCCACAATGAGCAGTAAGAGCGCAAAAAGTAAGGGTGTGCAGCGGCTGCTATGTTTCTATGTTCAGGAAGCCCTGGTCTTCATCAGGACAGGTGCATCTGACACACAATTCCATACTGCAAAAGTACAACTTTTAATAAAGTTAATAAAGAAAAAAAGTTTGATTTTACCGAAGAAGAAATCAATAAGAACAATTGATTACAATCAAAAAAGTTCCCTTCTTCACTAAAACAATAATTTGAATTCCTGCTAAGCATGGCAGGAACTATGGTATTCAAACATGAGTTAAAAATTAAAGATAGAATGAGTGTCCATTGACATCAAATTCAAGAAGCATTTCTAGCATATTTGAGCCATGTGGATTTGTTTTGCGCTCAAAGTAACAGAGGAATACCACTGGGAAAAGCCATAGAAACAGTTCAAAATAAGGAAACCCGTGAATTCACATTGGGATTAGCATTGAGAAGGATGATTGTCATCAGTTCCAGGAACAGGCTTCTGATTTTTCTACACTACCACTAGACATACCAATACACATCCTTCTTTCCTCCAAGTCTTCATTAAAAGAAAATGCTATTGGGTGCAAGAGGAAATAAGCCACTTAGTGCTGTAAGGTACTTCTCTTATATGTTAGAGAGCAAGAACTTAAAAATACTACCAATGCTGCCCTCAATATTTTCTGTCAAAGGAACACATTTCAGAGATAACATCGTAGCACTTAAAAAATTAATTTACATTTTCCTTAAACACACTCAATGGCATCTTACTCCCTCAACATTTTAAGCAACTTCCGAAATCCAAACTGATTGCAGAAATGTGTCTTTACGAAGTTTCCACCTTCACAGGTCAGGATTTTAATACTACATATATGAACATTCTAATAAGGAACGAAATATCTAATAAAATACTCAATTATACGCAGAATTATCAACACAGTTATTTTGGTGGCAGGACTTTGTATTCAAAATTGCTCATGTGACAGCATAACATATTGTAATACTGGACAATGCAAACAGGAATTGCTTCTTTGTCACCTTCGTTCAGAAAAAGATATCAAATTTTGAAGTCTCAAACATCAAGGAAAATCAGAGACAACACGACTTAGATAGTTAAGTGACAGTATTAGGACAAGAAAAGAGAAGTAACCATAAAAATAGCCTGCCCATTAGAAGATTTCCAATCATCAGACTGGTGATTATTAGGGAAATTGCGAGCAGAAATCTAAGTAGTCCTAGCTTGGTACTTGATCTAGTTTTGGAGGACCTGACATTTGCCAGCAGGGTGAATAATCACAGAGATTAACTGTGGGTGTGCTTGGCTAGCTAAGGAATGACAAATGCAAGACTTTAGTGTCTCTCAGACTTAAAGTGAAGCCTAATCAAACTGTTCATTAATAACTCATTTGGAACGGTATCATTTAGCAGCCCTTATATATTCAGCTCTAGTTCAGACTTCAAAAGCTTCAGATGACAAGAAATCACAAAACATAAAAGCATGCTAATTCCACTACATCCCGAAAACCGCCAGAGAAATCTGTATTCTAGCAGAATATTTACCAAAACAGGATGAATTCCAGTTTTGTTTCATCTGAAAAACTGAACAGCAATCAGAAGTTTTAATTACTCACCAAATAAGCATGGTCACAAAGCAGAAAGCACAGGTATAAGAACAAGACCAGCAGCAGTATAGCAGCATACTTTCTTTTCGTACCTGAAGGAAACGACCTCGAATATTTTCTTGCCTCTTCAAACAGAGACAGAACTGTTCTCTGCAGCACTAAAGAGAAAATGTTTCCCAATCCTTTAGCACCATTTAGTGGCTATTCATTTGTAATGCAGTTGGATATATAAAACCAAGTAGAATTCTATCTTCTGCTCTAGAGAGAATTAAGAAAGGCAGGCATGTACCATATCAGAGAGCTCACCTGTGAATGGCAGCTTACTATTGCATAATTTATTCATTCATTTGAAAACATTCAAATCTCTAAAGTGGTTAAGACAAGGAAGAAAAGCATACACAACAATGTTAGGAACACATAAGAAAAAAGGTATTTGTATTATTTTGAGCTTTTTAGAGTAAAACATGTTACACATTGAGAGAATTCTAGCTGGGTACAATCACACCATCAACCTTTGGTGACAGCAACTACTTAATGCACCACAGATTCAAGCAGAATAGCAGTCGTTATCTTTTCACGATACCATCAAGTGAGAACAAAAAACTTAATTCACTCTTTTTACCTTAGTTCTCCATTTCAAAATTTTATTCCAACAACAGAATCATCATCACAATCCACTGCAAAACGAATCTATTCTGGAATATCAGACAAATGAGGCATTTTAAGGAATTCAACTGATCATCATATAACACCGCTGTCATGAGATAACAACAGATAGTGATGCAGTTTTCAAGATTAGCAGTTTAATAATTCACTTTGGTCTTTCATCAAGGCTGCATACACACACCAAAAAAGTAGTTGTTTCTAGAAAATAAAACACAGCAGTTTAAATTGATTACTTAAGAAAAATCTTACTTCACCCACAGAGCAACATCATATTATCAATTACTACCAGATCCTTCCACCGAGGAGGAAGAGACAGGAGCAGCGATTCAATCGAGAGCCGATGTTATACCACAGTTATACACCACAGAGTAGAACATCCCAGTGCGGGGTAAGATTATTCCAGGGCAAAACTAGACAGTAACACATTCCTAATAAACTATCAGTGCTAACTCCCAGAAGGGCGTTAAATTGGTTTTAAGACCGCTCAGTTCCTCCCCCCAACACCCCCCCACACACACACATACATACTACCACTGAACGCGTCTTTCGGCACGTTGCCTCCTGAAAGCTGGAAGATGAAATGTCGGAGACAGGTACCTGAATCCGCCCACCCCAACCACGAAAACACAAAGCTCTACTCCGCTTTAAAGGGACCGAAGCTTTAGCTTTAGCTTTAGCTTCGGTTCCGTTTAAGCCGTTCCCTCCTTTGGAAGGCCCGTAGACAAAGAACGGGCAGAACAGCCTCTTCAAGCCCTACACGCGAATAGGAGGGACTTTCCCCTCCCCTTTCCCAAAGCCTCTTCGCAAGGCGGAGAGTCAGGAGAAGAGGCAGACTTTCCTTCCCCCGCCCCCCCCTCCCCCCCGTATCGCGGCAGCCTGGAGAAGAAGAGACGTCTTTTCTCTCCTCTCTGCCACGGGCGGCGAGCGGGGGAAGGGAAGAAGGGACACAAGAAGGGCGAGGC